TAGGGGGTCATACTGGACCACAAAGTTAAACATGAGTCAACAGCGTGACACTTGCCAAAAAAGCAAACATGGTTCTGGGATGCATTAACAGGAGTGTTGTGAGCAAGACACGGTAAGTCATTCTTCTGCTCTACTCTGCACTGATTAGGCCTCAGTTAGAGTACTGTGTCCAATTCTGGGCATGTTTTAAGAAAAATGTGGAAAAATTCATACTGGACCACAAAGTTAAACATGAGTCAACAGCGTGACACTTGCCAAAAAAGCAAACATGGTTCTGGGATGCATTAACAGGAGTGTTGTGAGCAAGACACGGTAAGTCATTCTTCTGCTCTACTCTGCACTGATTAGGCCTCAGTTAGAGTACTGTGTCCAATTCTGGGCATGTTTTAAGAAAAATGTGGAAAAATCGGAGAAAGTCCAGAGAAAATCAACAAGAATGACTGAAGGTCTAGAAAACATGACTGAAAGAAGGCTGAAAAAATTGGGTTTGTTTAGTTCAGAAAAGAGAAAACTGAGAGGGGACTGGATAGTGGTGTTCAGGTATCTAAAAGGGTGTTACAAGGAGGGAGGGAGAAAAAAATATTCTCCTTGGCCTCTGAGGATAGAACAAGAAGCAATGGGCTTAAATTGCAGCAATGGAGGTTTAGGTTGGACATTAGGAAAAACTTCCTGTCAGGGTTGTTAACTTCCCCTTGGGTAGTGGTGGTCCTACAGGAACACCATTCCACTCAGCATCAGCTGTGACAATGTTGTATTCACCCACACTCTGAATTGTCCAACCTGTGAGCAGCCCTACAACACGGGTGGGTCCAGTCTGCTCACCAGCCTTGCCCTGGTCAGCCCCTCCTCCACGTCACATGGCTGCTTCTCTCAATGTTTGCACTGCCTGGCAGAAGCTGGTCACAATGGGAAGTGCTTGTGCACTGCAGCCACTTGGTGCATGTCCCAGCATTTGCAGCACCAGCAGCCTCCTGGTGACTGTGTCCATTTTAGTTAAAGCAGATGCTTGACAGTGAGGGTGGCAGTGGGTGCAGGGTAGGTCCGATTCTCCCAGGTATAGGAAGTTACTGTGCCTGGTTGTGAGCAGCAGCAGTGTTTTGGGCCTTGGTGCTTCAAGCCTGTGGCTCAGAAAAGGGAGAGGAACACACAAAGGGACAAACCAGCTGAGATTGAAGGGCAGACAGGGAGACAGCTGGACGAGCAGGGGTGACGTCTAGTTGGGTAGGAGCACAAAAGGTCAGTCAAGAGCACAGAGGCACTGAGGCAGGTGTGCAGGCACAGAAAAAATCCCACAGGTCAGAGGAGCAGACAGGCATACACAAAGCCCTCATTGAGGACAACTGCTCTATAGCCCTCAAGGAAGGGCAGAAAAGGGGATGGTCTCAGAGCACCTGCTGAAATTGGAGCCAGAAAGCTGGAGGTGCCATAACCCCGGAGCAAACAGGAGCAACTTCTTTGGGATTCTGGGTCTTGCTTGGTAGGGAGATGTGATGTGGAGCAGCCCCCCTCTCTCTCTCATCCTGCCTGTCCCCTGGCTCTTAGCTCTCCTATGCTAAGCACTGCTAGCCTGAGCCCTAGATAATCCTACTGCTTTACCCTTTACTACCCTCACATGACCCTATAAAATCCCTCGTTTCCATCTGCTTCCCCCATCTTCATCCCCTGAACTCTGCCCCTTTTGGTGGCTTTCTAGTACTTTCAGATTTAGAACACCTGGGGCATTTAGCTTCAATGCACAGGCTTCCAGAAGTGTAATTTGACCCAATTTCCCACAGTGTAGAAAGAGAGGTGCTTCAATAAATTCTCATGGAAGAATTTCACCTTTTATGATACACCAATACTTCCCTAGGTTAGCTTAATATGTGAGCAAAGAACAAGAAGTAGTATTTAAAACATGACCCACACACAAGAGGAGAAAGCCTGTGTATCAAAAGAGGTAAATTCTATTTCAGTGTAATCAACAGTAATAACCTGCAAAACGGCATTGTTCAACCCAGGTAACCACTCTTATGAAGCTTTTTCCCTCTGGGAAACCCCTCTGTTCAGTCTTTGTCCTTCCATTCTGTTGTGCAAGAACAGCAGGGGACGGCTCTCTTAGTTAGGGCACAAGAGACTATACAGCCCCATTAGTACTGCGAGGCTGAAAGCCCTCTCGCCGTACACTGTTCAAGTCTAAGCGAGTTACAATCTCACAGCGCACCAGGAGAGTGTCATCTTTTACATAGGTTCTTTGCTTCAAAGTTTGCAGGTGCATGAATGTCACATAACCAAAACCTTTTGGGTTGCGGTGGGCTGTTGGTCTCTGGAAGGCCAGAAGCTCAGGTTTGGTTTCCATGACTTCTTCATGATTCTGTCTTTCAAGTCCTTCTGACTGATCCAAAATAGAAAGTCGTATGGTCCCCTGAAATGGCCAAGGCAGATGACTGTCATATTTTCCTTGCATAGTATGGACAAAGAGGGATATAAAGTTAGCACAGCGTTGAGAATTTGGTAACTGGATATGCAGGCGCAAACACAGTTTGTAGCCTGGTTTCCCAGTGTAGAAGCCAGGGCTGTGGATCACAACAGGTTTCTCTTCTTCTTGGGCTTTCAGATGTGTGCTGAAGTTCTCAATCCTCCAGATGTAAATGCCATTACATTGCTGCGCCTCCATTTCGGTGAGTTTTTCCTCTAGATTTTGGATAGTGCGTTTGAGGTCTGTGACATGAACGCTCTGAGTCTCCATCTTAGCAATGAGCTCTCTGATTTGGTGATCTTGTCTTACCAGGCGACCTTCCAACTGCTGAATGGTTTCCTTGAAGTTCTCAACATCTGGGTTGCAGTCATATGGGGCAGGTGGGACATGCGAGAAGAGAGATGACTCAAAGGCTACGCCACTGAGGAAGGTCATGGGAGTTGTGGCAGTAATACTAAGACTCCGGAGACTCTGAGCCATCATTCTCATGTGAACCTGAGTAAACTCTTGCATATGATGTGCCAATTCATTCCTCTGCATCTAAAATTTAAAAAGACATGGCATCAGAAACACATCAAGCAGCAAAAACATTTCCTGCAACTAAGCTGCAAAGTAGCAGGCTTCAAAGATAAACTGTAGTACATAATAGAAGAGGCTTTAGCTAACACAGATCAACTGGAACAAGAACTAACACAAACTTAGTGATTTGACAAAGCGAAGTCAAGTCCAACAGAAAGGACTTATTTTGGACCAGCCTTAAGATCAGACAACTCAGAAAAATGACCAGTTCAGGTGCCTACAGACACAAATAGCATTAATGCAAAACAATTTGTTAAAATCATGATGAAAAAGGCAGCAATTCCTCCAATGCCTTGCATAAATTTAATACTGCCATTATCCTGTTAGCTATTAGTAATGGCTACATTGCGGTAGTGGCATCAGAGCTCTGAATATGACAGTGTATTCAGGAAAGGCCAGGAGAGCTACCCATTAGAGAGAAATATATTAAAAGGAAATACTGTAATTAGAAAACTTGGAACTTTTCCCATTAGCACAATTTCACCAAAATCATGAGTGAGGATCATAGAGAATATTTCAAATCTATATTACCTTTCTCTAAACTATAAGAGTTACGTAAATAAGGCAATGTTACAGAACATAATTGGTATTCAAGCTAAATATATACTCTTGAACCACCAGGTAAGAACAGCAAAATAAAACCACCCAATAAATAAAACAGATTTAGGGCGGACTTTGCTAAAGGATGCAAGCACTGGTCCAATCAAGCTTTCACTGCCTTCAACAGGAGCTGAATCAGGTCAATGCTGACAGCTTTGGAAAGTTGCTCTATAAAAATCAAGCCCAGAAAGTGAGAGAGACTAGATGAGAGAAACTGAGGAGATCCTTGTATTGACGATGTGCCTAAAACAAAGAATTACCTTTTCGGGACATCCAAAGGCACTGTATGTACATGGTACTGGAACAGTCGGGCAGTCATTATCATAATGATTAGGCATCTAAAACCAAAATGAAAGTTACGATAAATTTTTCATTAAGAGGAATAATTTACATTCTTCTCTTCAGACCAACGTGTTCTTGCTTTAGAAATGAAATGACGCTATTCAGAGAACTTGATGAAAAGGTTAGCTACAGCGTGTGCCAAGCACACACCAATGATCCAGTCTAAACATGTGGCTATCCTTAAATACAATAAATTCCAAGATTTTAATGCCATCATGAGAAATCACACCCCACCAATTTGCATTTGAATAGACACTAAGTATTAAAGACCATTTAGTAAATTGGAAAGTAAATGCAATGACATCACTGTAAGTCATCCCAGTGTAATATTCCTTAATAACTATTACATGCCGTAAAAAGACTCCTGAAAAAGGATTATAGTTATGTTGACCTAGACGGTGACAGATGTCTCCAAAGGCAATTACCTCATTGCACATTTTTATAGACAGTATGTTTACATTTTACTTTAGAACTGATCAGAGCCTTGAACAAATTCGCTTTCCAGGATCAGCCACAAGTACATGCAGTTGTTGAAATCTTATTTGACTCCATGCAAGATCACCATCATAGCCAGGCACTTTGCGATATACTCCATGGCTCCTATCCAGAAGATTTCCTGCACAGTAGTTTGCTACCAACAATCCATGTGTTTCAATTTCACTAGAACTGCAACTTCAGACTGGAACACCATTTAGAGCAGTAGTTCTCAACCAAGTGTCTTCAAGTAGGTTTCAGGAGGTCTGACAAGCATGACTGACATTAAGACTTGCTAGAGACCAAGGCAGAAAGCTGGAGCCCCACTGTGAAGGACTGCAGTTCAGGGCCCCGAGCTCCCGCCACGAGGGCTGAAGTCAAAGCCCGAGTAACTTAGTTTTGCAGTGCCTCTGGTAGAGTGGAGCTCGAGGCAACTGACCTGCATCCTACTCCTTAATGCCAACCAAGGCTTTTTTATGAAGAAACACTTGTTGTGACAAATGGGCATCAGAGAAAAAGATTAAGAACCCCAGGACAGTTTGACATGTGAGGGATCAGATGAGTTACCATAAAATTTTAAATTATTTGCAGCTAGATGCGTTAAATATTATTATTTATAAAATAATATTATTATTTAGGATGTACTCCAACCCAACACATGGACATATGAAGAAGTAGATTCTTACCTGCTCTCTAATAAGCACTGTATTGCAGTATTCACAGCACACATTTGCAAGTGGGCAGTTCTGGTCATGAAGCTTTGATTTTTGAAAAGGTGAGAAAGAAAAAGAAAACTATTAGAAACAAATAAATGATTATTAAAAGAGAAGGAAGCATTGATTAGCCTGTGTTCTCAATGTTTATGTAAAATTCTTGATCATTTATTTAAGACTCGAGCTTTTTATCTTGCAAATTGGGAAACAGGAAAGTAACCTCCTTTTGATGCCTGAATATTTGAGTCTCTCAACTTACCTGAATTTTTTAACATTTTGACCAAAAAAAAAAAAAAAGGTGAAAACGGCCACAAATATAATGTACATTAAAATGGAAAGTTTCAATGGCAAATTTGCAAGTTCTTTTCAGATAAGCCTAATATCCTCCTAAGATAGATTAGGTGTATATAGAAGATAATGAAATGAAAGCTCAAAACACTGACACTAGATGCTCAAGGTCATCCAGGAGTCAGAATCAGAGTTAAGAAGAAAATCCAGAAGTTTTGTTCTTATTCTCTTGTTCTAAGGTATTGGAGCACATCCTTGTTTCCAGCAGGTAACATATTTCTTGCTCTGAATACAAAGCCCACCACACAATGTTCCCTCTAATTTTTTATTTCCATTTGTGAAATGACATAGGTTATGTTCATCAATATAGAGGGGTTAGTTATTCGATACATGGATAGTGTGTGTCGGGGGTGGCACTGAGGGGTTGGGGTGAAGGAGGGACTCAGAGCTGGGGCAGAGGGCTCTGGCTGGGGGGGAGTGGGTGTGCAGACTTTGGGGTTGGCTAGGATGTAGGCTGCTCCAGGGAGAGAGAACTATTCCCAGCCCTCTCTCACCGCTGCAGCTTGGGACCAGGTGAGAGGCGCCTCTCCACGGCCACCACAGCTTTGGGTGGAGGCCAGGGAAGGGGTGCCTGTCCCCCAGAAGCAACAGCTCTGGGAAAGCTCCAGGTTGAGTGATATGGCCAAGGAAGAGATTCCCCTCCCCACAAAAACAGAGTTGCTGTGGCCAGGTGAGAGGTGCCCCCTCCCTGCCAGCTCCCACACACAAAGTTGTCAGAGGCTGGCAGACAGAGACAGTGTGCTGAAGCTGCTCTGAGCCCTTCTGTGGGGCTTGTTAGAGGGAACCACATACCAGTAGTTTTGTCCTATCCTGTTATTCTCTTCCCTCCCCTACTCTTTTTTAAATCCACTGTGGACAGCTAATGCTGCTTTCTCTTTGTAAGGCCAAATTAAAAGGTCCCATGTTATGAAAACCCTTTCATGTCTCCATGCACCATACGATCTCTAAGAAAGGTTTAATCAAGCAGGACCCCAGCTTGGAACAAAAAGGGGGGGTAGGTAGGCTAGTCTTCACCAACCACAAGAGGACAAAGCAGAGGTCACAACCTCCTAATGCCCACCAGAAAGTGGTTTCTAGGTCAATTTACTATTCTGACGAAAGTAAATGTTCTCTATTAATACTGCACTAACAATTGAGAACAAATATTAGAGTGGATGAAAAATACTGTTGAATGTTTCAGTACATGCCTCTTGATCTTCATAACTCATAGATGTGGCACAATTTGGACAAGAGACTTGCCGCCGAGGGCATTCCAGCATCATGTGGTTTTGCAGCTGGTTCTTTTGGAAGGAGCCCTGACATTGCAGGCATTCCACACAAGAGAAGTCGCAATTTAGCTCATGTTCCTGCATAAGGATAACAAGACGACATAGTATTAGAAACCTCAAAAAGTGCTCCAGGTACCAGCACAATAAAGCAAAATGGCTTCCAAATCCTGTAATATTCTTTTACGCCCTAATCCTTCAAAAAGATTTGCCCTTCAACCCAATGCCTCAATGATTTTAATCACAGTTCATAAGGGAGGGCTCCATAGCAGAATCAGAGTTTGAACAGAACTATAAATTCAAAGCACTATATAAATACTAAGATTTGAAGATTTGTCATATGGTTACTTTTTTAAGTTTAAACACATTGTTTAATTGGACACAGCTACCAGGATTATTAAAAAAAAAGTTTATTCAGATTGTTTGAGCAGGTATTAAATGGAATTTTGGACACTAGACATAAAAAGTGCTAACTTATATAACATAATTGCTTAAAATTGTAAATGGCAAAGACAGTCCAAAAGGAAATTTAACATGATAGGCACTCTCTTTTGCTGTATGCAAGCTGTGACATACAGCCTCAGGTAAGATAACCACGATCAGCCACTTATTTCTTTCCATTCAAGCAAGAGAACCCGTCTTGGTGCTTGACCAAACTAACGGTGGATTTGAAACCCAATCACTACATTGAATCATTTGCAAGATTTTTTTTTTAAATTTCAAAATGTGAAATGTTCCGTTTTTCAAATAATTTTTACCTCTAGATGTCTCAGCTCCATCTTCTGAAGGCAGCCCTTGTTGGGACATCTCACACTCAGTGAAAGGATTTCCCGTTTGGCAAAGTTGTCAGGGAATAGCTGGTTTTCAAGTAGAATTTCATTGTCTACTGGACATTTGTGACCTGCATCTCTACCACGAGAAAAAAAAAAAAAAAGAGGATGAGGGTATATGTATGCACAAGAAGAAAAAATATCTAGCAGATCTCAGACTTCTTTTCTTATCATTTTAAAATCTTCTCTTGGATCACTAATGACACCTACGAAAAAAGTCTGTCATATTGTCATGATAAAGTTTTAAAGCAGTAACTGGAAATAATGTCAATACCTAACCAACTAGCAGGAATTATGGCATACAATATCCTGGTAACTAATGTGAACACAAAGCTAAATGTATGTAATTTCAAAATAATTCCATTTGTAGCAACATTCCTTTGGGTTAAAATAGTGTTAAGTTTTCTCAGTTCTAGCTGGACGGGTGCACTGGTAATCATTCTTGGAATAAATCTGCCAAGAGGCTGCAGAAAGGCTAATTATTTTAGGGTCCCATTTATGTAGTCATTTCCTGAACAATTCCTATTAAAGTCAATAGGAACACAAGGAATTTGGAAGCAGCCATTTAAAAAAGTTCTTCACCTTCACCCTTCTCTTATTAACACCCATGACTGAAGTTGAGAAGCAAGTAATTCTATTTTTTCCAGTTTGTTACTTTATATTTGATAGAACTTTTGTCTGATCAGTTTCCTTGTTAACCTCTGTGAAATCAGTTAGAATCTTTTGTTTGGTGTCTTCCATGCAACATGGAAAGGAGAAAAGCTACTGGGGAGAAGTCTTAAGAATGTAATGCTCAAGACACGAATATGACAGGGATTGGGGCAGATATATTTAAAGCAATTTTAAGAAAATTGAAATTGACTAGTTTTCAAGTGGTGCCCCTTAAAAAGCTTAATGTACCATTTTTACAATTCATAGATGAACAAGGCACTTTAAATTATATAATAAAAAAAGAGCAATTCAAATAGCAATTTGCCCATACTGTCCCCCACCTTCCAACTTTTGTCTGAAACAGCAGAGATTACCTGAAACCTGCTGCCTTCAAGTATGAACTAAACTCAATGCACATGGAAAAATACAAAGTTAATACAGTTAAACAGAAGAGTAAGATCAAAGCTTGAGAGGTGTGGTGCTAATGGACAATATTGCTAGTGTGAAAAAACGGTGGATTTAACAATGCTCTAAGTGAGCTGGGAAACAGAGGGCATTTGCCCTTCAAAGTTCATTAGATTTGAGGGCCAGAGAGATAGATAAATTGGGTGGGGATAGTGGTATTTGTCTGATAAGGAACTGATTAGCCAGCACCTACTTTTGTTAGCATTACTGTTACAGAAAAAGGAGGTAAGTTTAGACTTTAGAAAGAGACAATAAACTTCCTTTATGGTTTTACTTTTAGGAGATGGTTTGCCACAAGTTAGCATTTCACTCCTAAACAAACGGAAAAAACAATGCAGTAGCAAGGCAGTTTCAAACCTCACAGCTCCCCAGCCCTAACTCTGCTTTCGGTGTCACAATTCACATTCACTCTGACAGCCTACAACCGGAAGCTGGCTGTTACAAGTATAATGTGGTGCAACATATTACAAACTTCCTGATTCTAATTAAGCTTATAGGTAGCAGCTGAACCACATTAAATAAAAATCAGCATTTTTTTCCCACAGCCAGGGAAATGGGAATTGCCTCAGCACTACAATGGGACTCCCACCCACCCACACCTTGACAGCATTTGGGATACTCAATGATTGTAGAGTACTATCTAAATGCCAATTACTTACAACATATTTTTAGTAACGTGTTTGTGAATTTGAAGCATGTAACCATTTGCGAATGTGACATCAAGACTGGGTTAGAGCCAAACTAGGTGTGGGAAGATCTTATACACACTTCTCTCACACAGTTCAATATATGCACCTCAGTATCAATTTGCATTGCTTGTTATTCCCAATTGGGAGCTTTCCCACAGAAGTGCTCATTTGCTCTGCTCCAGGCTCTGCCCTCACGCCTCTCCTTCCCCAACTCCCACCACCCCTTTCTAGCTCAGCGCCCTGTTTCCCCAAGTGCCTCCTGCATGCGGATGATCAACTGATCACTGGAAGTGGGAGGTGCTGGGAGGGAAAGGGAAGAGCTGACCATCAGGCCTGCCAGGCCACTATTTTTAACCCATGGGTGCTCTAGTCCCAGACCACCCAAAGAGTCAGTGCCTATACTTTCTTGAGAATCATGAACTTCAGAGGGGGTAGCTGAGTTAGTCTGCATCAGGGAAAACTTAAAAAACAACAAATAGTCTAGTAGCAATTTAAAGACTAACAAAACATGTAGATGGTGGTATGAGCTTTCATAGGCACAACCCACTTCTTTAGATGACCGAAGTGTTGGAAGTCCAGATCCAAGAATAAATAAGGGAGGAGGTGGGGAGAAGAAGGAAAAAAAATTGAAGGGGAGGTAGGTTCTTTCCGGTAACCATGCCACACAATCACATCATAAGCATCCAGGAACCCAGCCCTGCAACCAACTGCGGTGACAACTCTGCCCACATATCTATACAAGCGAATTCATCACTGGAGCCAACAACATAAGCTACAAAATCAAAAGGTCATTTGACTGCACATCCAGTAATTTGATCTATGACATCAAATGCCAGCAATGCCCCACTGCTAGCTATATTATATATGAGAAACTAGACAGTCTCTACAGGAAAGAATCAATGGACACAAATCAGATATACGTAAAGGGAACATACAGAAGCCTGTTGGGAAACACTTTAATCTTCCTAATCACTGTTTAAAAGATCTTCAAGTCTCCCTAGTTTGAGCTAGGGATGCAAATGTAGGCGACCAAAATTGCTAATGAAGCGGGGATTTAAATATCCCGTACTTCATTAGCATGATCTCGCCGGCGTGTTACTCCGCTTAACAGCTGATTTGAACCAGGAAGTGCGCGCCAGGATGCATTAGTTCGAACCTAACCCCTTGGTTCGAACTAACATTACTCCTCATTTTTTGGTTCAAACTAACGCGTCCCGGCATGCACTTCCTGGTTCGAAATCAGCTGTCGAGCGGAGTAACGTACCGGCGAAATCATGCTAATGAAGCGGGGATATTTAAATCCCCATTTCATTAGCAATTTCTATCACCTACATTTGCATCCCTAGCTCAAACGAGGGAGCAAGTGTAGACGTACCCTAACTTGGCTACTGCCTGAAGCTTAAGAAACAACAATTAGTCTAGTAGCATCTCAAAGACTAAATAGTTACAAGAGGCTGATAAGAACCATTAGTTTGCACTTGGAAAGGAAGATGACCGGACACCAGATTCTACACAGACATCAAGAACCATTATCACATTCATTGTTTGGTTGGTTGATAATATGCAAGCCATCCAATATCACATTCAAACCATCAGCATAAGAATTAAATTTGTGAATAAAGTTAAGCTCCAATCCTTTCTCTGTGTATGTGGCTTGTGGAATTGGTCTGAAACAAAACAGTGACTTGGAGATCCATTAATGAGTGTCCATGGTAAGTTCTGCTGTGAGCTGGTGTTTCTGACAGGGACAAGAATTACGAGCAAGTAACATGAGAATATTGTTTTTGCTGGTGATCTAAATCCATCCATTAAAGACAAAGCCACTACATATATAACCTCTAACAATTGCTAGACAAACTTCTGGCAGACTGAGTGGGTTAACTGAAAAACGTAATAATGACTCTATAACAGGATTGCTTTGCTCTGGTTGTATCTTCCATACACCTATCAATGAATACTTAGATTGGGGAAGACACAGGAAGCATAAAGGAGGAAAATCAAAAGTGAACTAGCTTAGTCAGGTTATAAATGACAATTGCTACTAGAGAAAGCTCAATGGAAAAAAGTTAATTGGAGAAACCCGAAAAAAAGAGATAAAGGTAACATCTATCCTATTCCCAGCCTGACAGGGAACATAAGAACGGCCGTACTGGGTCAGACCAAAGGTCCATCTAGCCCAATATCCTGTCTGCTGACTGTGGCCAGCACCAGGTGCCCCAGAGAGGGTGGACTGAAGACAATGATCAAGCGATTTGTCTCCTGCCATCCTTCTCCAGCCTCTGACAAACAGAGGCCAGGGAC